GCAGCAGCAGCAGCAGCAGCAGCAGCAGCAGCAGCTGCAGCAGCAGCCACAACAGCAGCAGCAGCCACAGCAGCAGCAGCAACAACCCGCCGGCGGCTTTCTTCCTCCCGTCAACGCACCGGTGGTGGCCGCTAGCGCCGCGCCGCCCGCCCCGGCGACCGCGGGGTCGAAGATGACGGAGAAGATGAGGGCTGAGGACTGGAAAGCGACGGGCCCCCTGTGGCTCCTCGCGCGGGGCGGATTCGACACTCGCGCCCCGGTCGACGTGCCCTTCGTTAAAATGGTCGCCGGCGAATACTCACACATCACAGAGCAGGGAGGGAAACAGATGTGTAGCCTGACGGACATAAAAATCGAGCACTGTTTCCCGCCCAAGTCCGCCAACGCCGCCCTCGCTGGGGGCTCCGCTGTTGGGCTAAACGCCTTTTGACCCACATGGGTATGCGTAGGATACGATTGTAAAATTCGCATCGGTTGCGTGCCCCAACAACAGCAAGTGCAACCCACCCACCACGCACGCCAAAACGGAAAAGCAAAGCAAATGCGCGCCACGTGAGACCCACCGCTCCGAACGACAACCAACACGCCACACGAAGTGTCCAGCGCCCACCCACGCTCTAGAAAACAGCACCCTCTGACTGCAACACTTCCGCGCGTCTGAGTCTTGGCAAGCACCGCGATCAACCACGCGGCACAACCTCAGCCGTTATAGTGGGAGAGAGGGGTTAGAAGGACGGAATCATGCCGAAAATGAGCGGTGCATGGGAGAGCTTCTCAAGGTCCAGGATGGCTACCCTCGCGGTAAACGCCCTCCTCCTCAGTGCCGGGTCGCCATCTTCACGCGCAGTGGCGGCAGCGAGCGCAGCGCCGGGGTGGAGCGGACCGGCGGCGGCGGGGAAAAACATGATGCACCAAATCACCCATCATCTTCGCTACCACACAACGGCGGCTGCATCACCATCATCATCATCATCCACGCCTCCGTCAGTCTCTTCCACAAGCGGGAAGTACCTACCGAGACATCGTCGCGGCAAGGCAGGAGACAACCACGAGTGTGAGAGCAAGCGTGCATCCGCCGAGGACCCTCAGAGGCGCTCGCGGCGCGGAGCGCAGCGAGGTGCTCTTCTTCCTCCCGGCCGCACATCCACGCGGCAAAACATGCGCAACAAGAACAGCAGCGGGACGGCTGGGTGGGTAGAAGCCGAGAGGAGGGAGGGGTTGGGGAACAAGGTGCCGGGCCTCAGGTCAGCAGTGGCAGCTGGAGCGGGCAGAGGAGAAGTAGGGGCTAGGCACGCAGCAGACGCAGCGGTCGGTTCGAAGCACTACAGGGGATGGGGGTTGGCTGGGTGGGCGAAACGGTTGCGAGGAGATACAGCGTCGTCGTCTTCAAGTCGTGACGACACGAGCAGCAGCATTCGGCACAACCAGCAGCAACAGCAGCAGCAGCAGCAGCAGGAATCCCTGTACGAGAGAACGGCTTCGGCGATCAACACGGTGATGAAAACCCCACCCGTGACTCCTGCTGTGGCAGGGGTAGCCACGGCAGCATCGGCGGCTGCCTCTCCTTCCCCTGCACCGTCCTACCTCCGGTGGCCTTCCAAAACGGCGGCGGAATCCAAGCAGCAAGGCGACGACGTCGAAGCGGACGGACAAAATCGCGACAAGATAGCGCTACCCAGGAGTACGAGACGCGCCGCAGGGAAGTCCAATGATGTCGCCACTAAGCCGTCCTCGGGAGAAGAAGAGGGTTCTTTGGGGGCGGCGAAAGCATCTCGGGGGGGCGGCAGTGGCAGCGCTTCTGTCAGCTTAACGTTCACGGAGGCCATGTTCGCCGGCGCGATCAGCCGGTCTATTGCGCAGGTGAGGGTAGCAGTGGTTCGTATCGATCCCCCGGGGCTGAGAGTGCGTCCGTAGGCCGCAGTGCTGTGGTGACGTGCGATGGCCTCGACAAATCCGTAACGACGTTTTTCAACGTGCTCGAGTGTACCCGAGTAGGGTATCATGGTCATAGCCTCATTTTCAGATCACTCCCGTCATTTTTGTGTTTCCCTTCCGGAAATGCTGTGGCATCGAGTGATGCTACTGTAAAACGGGGTCGCGTCATCTTGCACTGCCGGGTAGCGGGACACACTCTACTTACACAAACCTGTTGGTTGCGAGGATACAGCGGTAAAGCGTATATGTACCTGACAGGAGGCGTGGAGATTTTGACGCCCTTATGGTCGCCTCCGACCTCTCCGTCAGATCACCGACACAGGGCGACACGTTTGCATCCCGAAAGTACCCGAAACATGCACCGCCCTACGCCAGCATCACTCGCAATCCCGCTCTTGTCGCCTTCGTTTTAGGGATTGACACCCACCTCGTGTCTCGTGCGACGACCCAATCTTTGACAGACGTGCATGCAGCCGGCGAACGTGGTGAAAACGCTGCTACAAGGGCGAGGCACGGCGTCGCAACTGTCGAACCTCTCCTTCAAGCTGCTTACCCGGGGAGCCGGCGCGCAGTTCGTCATGAGTGTTCCGCACGGCGCGTTCAACTACGCCACCCTAGAGGTAAGTGCCATCCCAGTCATCATGGCCGTCAGGCTTCACGGCTTTCGTTATACCATATCCGCTGCCGCAACGCATCCGATCGTGATCCGATGTCGACAACCCTTCCCGCTTGTCATGCTTCGCTGAGTTATTCCGGGCGTCAGATTTCATGCCTTTCAGTATGTATCCGCTGCGGCAACACACCCGATCATGACCCTATGCCGACAACCCTTCCCGCCTATCATGCTTCGCTTCGTGTTCTGGGCGTCAGACTTTGCGTTTGTCGGTATGTAGCCGCCGCGGCAACGCACCCGATCATGATCCGATTTCGACAACCCTTCCCGCCTACACATGCTTCGCTGCGGTATGGTTGTCTCCCTTGGAAGGTTATCTTGGGATGCTCGGCGAAGATTTTCCCGGACGAGTGGAGGGAGCGGGCGGGGCCGGTTCTGGACTTCTTGTCTTCGAGCGTGGCCACCGTCGTGTGCTCGGTGGTCAGCACTCCCCAGATGGTTCTCACCGATCGTGAGTGGTCTCAGCTCTAGGCTAAACAAAATGTCTTGTGGTATACAGTATATTCGGTTTTCTGCACATAGGTAGATGGGTGTTTCGTCGGAACAGCGGAAGTGGGTGTTGTTGGAATACCCGTTGGTTGTTGACGAGAGGCAATCAGGCGCCGGAGGATTTTTCCCGAAGAAGAGAGATGACGGTGGCACCCGGGGAAAGGAATACTTTCTGCGAAGCCCCCCGGCCGTCCCACCAACGCTCGCAACGACAGACTTGAAGCGAGAGGCCTCGATTTCCCCAAGATAGCAGATATCACTGGCTATGGTCTTGGGAAGGAAGAGATGTTGTAAGGATGTGGCTTGTATAGAAGATGGAAATGCATACCCGCATTTATTGGCGGAAGGGGGGCTCTCCCTTGTCAAGAGAAGGGGGACTGCTTGGTACGCACTGTCCAAGAAGCAATTCTGTGGTTAGATTGATTTTCTGTCGAGTTCGTGCCGCTGATTCCTGGAGCGCTGGCTCTACGCCTGGCTCTCAACAACGATGTGTGTTATCCCCCCCTTTACCTGCCAGACTCATCCGAAGAATCGTATGGGTTTCTCCCCGAATGTATCCCATCTTGGTTCGGTCTTTTTTAGGCCTGGTTAGATGCTCATGCTCCTGGGGTTGCCTATTCCACTATTATGTCGTTCATATATATCTTAAAGACAGCAGTTCTTACTTCCGTCCCGTACGTTCTTCCATGCTTTTACGATACCATGCAACAACACCCTGATGCTGGACAGGAATCATGGCGGGGATATACCCCAACCTTGCCAGCGGTGTGCGTGAGATTACCCGGACGCAAGGGTTGCCGGGCTTCTACGTTGGCTGGAGCGCGAACGTCGCGCAAAAAATTCCAAGCTACGGGTAAGCGAAAGTCGTCTTCGCTTTGAAGGTCGTGTCTGGGGCAAGGTTCCCATCCATGTGCCAGCTCTCTCGTGCTGGTCTATCACCGTTGTAGTGTTGCTCAGTGGGCGCACCGGGGGACACAGCGCAGACTGCGGCGATGTGTTGGAGAGCATTTTCGGGGCAACCGACTGCCGGCATCAGCGGTGGCACCGTGCGCACTGCTGCAGCGTTTCATCCACCCTGTTGGATACGCTTGTGCAGTAGAACACCCCGCTCGTGTGGTTCCTCGCATCTCGCGGCATACTCCTGATAGTTTTTGTTGGTTTCGCCGTGACGTTTTTGTGAGCGTCGGCACTTGAGGCCCGAAATTCGTGACATCTGTAAGGCGACCAGCCAGCGGGAAAAAGCTTCCATACCCCCACCCAACTGGCAACTCGTCGGAATTCCTGATTCCGGCCCTGACCTCTTCCAACCTGCGCCTTTCCTCTCTCTCTCTCTGCTGCTGCTGCTGCTGCTGCTGCTGCTGCTGTGCTCCCTCCCCATCTCCCTTCTCGGCATGTATATGCTTATGCGTCCAGCCTTACGTGGGTATTCTTCCAGCAGTTCAAGCGCCTGCACCGCAAGGCCACCGACAGGCCCCCAACCAACACGGAGAACTTCGTGCTGGGGGCGGCCGCGGCGGGGGCAACAGTATGGTGAGAGACAGAGAGGCAGAGAGAGAGATGCTTTCGGGTGTGGGCCCTTGAGCGGTAAGGGGTCCGTCACACGACAGTCTGTTGGAGATTGCCCGCCACCGCGCCTTTGCCCTTTTAAACGTGCAGCTGGGCAAGGGATGTTTGAACAGCACGCATGATACGGTTTTATCGTGGTAGCCTAGAGACCCGACCCGAGGATGTGTGGTACGTTTTGGACGGCACGTCAGCGATTTGCTGTAGCACTGCTGTCATGTTTGTTTTGTTGGACGGTTGCACCGCAACATCTGCCTCTTCCGTCTAACAATGTGTCGACATGAGGAATCCTTCTCAAGTACTGACGAGTCGATCAATACCGTTGTTTCAGCGGGACAGCATGACACATGCACACCCTCTTCGTTTCATGTGGCTGCGACCTCTTCCCCCCCCCACTTCCGATTCTCAGCATCATGATACCGATGGACACGGTCAAGACGCGCCTGGTGACGCAGACCGCCCAGGCGGGAGTTGTGCCGTACAAGGGCGTTCTTCAGACCCTGACGAGGATCGTGAGGGAGGAAGGATTGGGCCCGATCTACCGGTCGCTAACCCCTCGACTAGTGTCCGTCGTCCCGATGATTGGGATACAGGTGCGTAACATTGCACGGAATAGAAGAAACAGAACACGGTTCGTTTGAACTCATCATTTTTTTTTTCTTTCTCGAAAACAGAAGGACTCGACAAAATCTGCAGTTTTAGTTAACCTGAACTTTTCCCCATTGGAGGCATAGAGCGCGATGATGTAGTCAGAGGCGAGAACGTCCCCGTTTTTACTTGAATGCGGTTGACGCCCCCCGTGCGCTGCCCTGCATAGCATCGTTTTCTCTTAAAAGCGTGGGGACCTAGACTACCGCGTTGATCCAAGCACTGCCTGCCCACCAACAGATTTTATTGTGATCCCCCAATGGAATTGTCTAGTTTAGCTTTGCACGATTTCCAAAACTCGCGTCGTTTTGCGTTTTCATGTACATGAAACCCCCCTCCCTCGCAGCTTGTGCCGAGAGAGAAGAACAGAATCTAAAAGAAAGAAACCAAGGATAAGGAGGGTCTAGAAGTGTACGGAATGTTGAAGGAAGGAATAGGGTTCAAGGATTGCCTACATGGACCAATGGATGCAGGAACAAAGCTTAATAGTCAAATTCAGGACCGGGGACATAGGTCTTCGAGAACGTCGGCGAAGACATAGGACGGTAGACGAAGACGACGAGTTCAAATGTAATTGCGGCTTCGAATGCGAAGACCGTGTTCATGTAGTCGCGGAATGTCCGTTGTACAAGAAGGAGAGGGAAGTGTACGTGACTGAGCTGGGAAAAATAGATGGAACGTACAGGGAGATGTTTGAGGCATGGAATAGAGAGGAAAGGACGGTAGCTGTAGTGGGGCATAGGAGGTGGGTTGAAAAGGCGGGAAGGGATATCGTTAGGATAGACAGACTAGGGAAGACATTTTTGAGCCACCTTTGGCAAAGTAGAAAGGAACGATTGGCCATCGGTGATCGGTCCTGTGGGAACAATGCTCCGTCCTCGAGGACGCGTGGTCAATGGTCTAACCGCTAAGGCGCTAAGGCGCGCAGAACATGAGAGTACGCCCCCCCCCCCCCCCCCCCCCCCCCCCCCCCCCCC